TGATGATGATGATAAAAGATAGTTTGAATTTTGATAAACTTTGTAATTGATACAAAAATATTGAATTGTTTCGGAAAATTTTCAGAGTTGTTGTGTTTACTATTTTTTCATGTATTTAATAACCAGATTTGGGTTCTTTATGAAGGGCGTCCCAGGATTCGATTTTAATGATTTAAACGTTTTGGATGGTGTAAATGTCGAATGTCCATTGCGAATGTTGTATATTATCAATAATATTGCAACAAGTACGGACGTAGAACGGAATTCAGCTTTGCAATATAATTCAGAAACGCATTACTATCTGCCACAGGAACTTTGCAAAAAAGCACTTAATTCATGAGCAACGCACTTCAAGATGCGAGACAATAAGCTTTAAAGCAATACGCAATTTGAATTTCTTTTTCTTAGCAAAGCATTCTTACGACTAGGTAGTAACATCATATAGGGAGTTCCATTCATTCACACAAAAAATACGTCTTCGCCTTTTGACACATATTTGTAAACAGAGTTGTGACAGACTTGATCTTTCTCTTATAATAATACTACATATAATTGCAAAAGTTTGGATTGACAGGACCAAAAGCTTTTCTTGAAGCTCATTTTCCACAGTTGAAACCATGGCAAACGGAGAGGATTATGACAAGGATTAGTGCGATCAGGATTCCCAAAACAATCAGCTTCACCTTCATGTTCTGCAGCCACATCTTCCTCCGCATTTTCGTCCCAACATTTCTGAAGTCCTGTGCCTGTAAGCAGATCAAGTTTTCCCCCATAAGTAGGTTACATTGAATAACAATTCCTTCGAAGGAAATAAAATCTTGAAAAGATGAATCAATTTCGAACTGTGGAAACCATAGCCTCAGAATTAGACTTCATGAACTGTGGAAAGCAATCATAACTTCTACAAGAAGTGTTTAAAGCCCTTTTATGAATCATTACATACTTGAGGCCATGCACAATACGGGGGGAAAATAGATAATTTCAAGTTTTTAAATTCACAGTATTAGTAACATGTGCTTATGCATGAGAGAGAGAGAGAGAGAGATGACCTGTTGATGAAGGTTCTCAGTCTTGTCGACCAAAAGCTCTATCTTTTCCCCTCTATCTAAAACCTGCATCAAAATGCAAGATGAGGACATATGAGTATTCAGAAAGAAAAAAAAAATAACACTATGAAAAGGCATCTCGAGGAAACAAGAAGTCGATCTAATGACCACTGTTCTATGTCTATATAAGAATGGATGTTTACACCCAACGAAAATAGTCATTGAACTTCATCCACGTAAAATATAACACATCAAGGCACATTGCTTTAATCATATATCGCAAACATTGTACTGATGAATATATTCTTCCACATCAAAAGCCCAAGTAAACCCATATAAAACAGTTTCTAAGAATAGCGAACTTCAATTTTGAAAATATATCGCAACTATCCAAAAAACAGAAGTCTCAGCAAACATACCCTTCACAGTCAATTTGCTGGAATTACTTTTGAATACTGTTTCATCTCCAGAAACAGTAAACAAGGTCATGGTGGTTATTAGAATATGTTTTTTGTGGTTTGAGTATTTTAGTCCTTTCTGTTTTTAAGAATGAGTCTATTTTCACAAGATTGAAACAATCTGCATAAAGAAAAAGATTGATCATAAAGACTAGCAAAATATTCTCCTGGTCAGCTCTGGTCTACAAGTGAGAAAAAAATGGTCAAGTTATTTTTCTTCATGGAGTCTTTTTTTTATAATTTATCTTCCACAGTTAATCATAACATTTTTCAAGGTTAGGATACTTTTCCTTCACCTGAACATTGGAAACAAGATGCACCTCTATCCTTAAGACTCATTCCAGATCCAGTTTCCTGAGTCCCAACTACCATTACTTGTGTCATAGTGCCCAATAGTGTAGGTAACTTAGGTTCTAACAACAGACAAAAGCGTGCACATGCACATTTATGGACATGTTTGTGTGAGCACATGTGCGTGCACCTAAATGTTCAACAATTTCATCAAGTCAGAGTGAAAAACCCTTATTCCATCTATAGATTCCCAAATCTGAGAAATAGCTGGCCAAAAAAGAGAAAAAATAAGAAATAAATAGGTGAATTAAGGTAAGTCAGTTGGATTCAATAATATTGTATCCCATCCATGGCAAACAATCTAATAAAAAACAAGTATTCAATACCAATAAACCCATGCAGTGTACCTTTTCAATATTCTCCATCATAACACCTTTAACTTCTGAAACCTGGGCCTTCACCTTTGCAAGCTTGCTTATTTCTTCAGGATGATCAACACAGTACTGCATATGTTCCTTCAATTTTGACCTGCAAGTAATGGAAAACCAAATCAGCTATTTTAACCAGACAAAATTGAATTAGGATGTCTTTCACATGAACCGAATCAGGTATGATACCCAAATTCCTTGTTAAGGCTGTTGGCAGGGGCTGTAGCAGCCTTTCCACCACCATATTTTGAAACAAAATCATCTTTGATACGCTCCAGAAAAGCGATAGGTACTTGTCTTCCAGATGATTCATCTGCAACCACACAATACGCTGCGACAAGAAGAAACATTGGTCAGTAACTGATTGAATAAGATAATAGTAAATTATGAACTGACACTAACAAGAATTTAAAAATACTCGGTTCTAAGAATTTATGACGATAGCTCAACGAAATGAAAGGAAGCCTATGCAACACAGCAGTAGTTCGAATGTTTTAAGAGTGTCACATTTCCTAGCAAATTCAACATCCAAAATGATTAGATATGTGAAAAACCAGGAAATAAAGGCATTGGAAATATGCTCAGTTCAACATTCAAAAAGCAACGAGATGCAATCTACTAATAACTACTCTAGAATGACACTTGATATTTGAATATAATTGAAAACCAATCACACGGAAACAGCATTCACTCATGCATAGTTGCAAAGCAACAAAAAGATATCTTCTAATGTAAGAATAAGATCCAAGATCTAAAACCTCTAAAGCACAGAAACAGAAAACCAGCGCCATAACTCAAAATTCCTAAAATGAGCCCAAGCATCAGCATCAAGAACAGATCTACGAACAATTAAGTACATCAAACGAACCCTCAACTTCACTTCGGCTTGCGAGCACAACAAAGTAAAATGAACAAAGCAAATAATCAACACAACATAAAGTAGTTTCTCCGTCATTTTCCTGCGAGAGAATTTGCTCGGGAGGCAAACGGAGAAAAGAAAAAGGAAAAAAAGAGCATTACTGTAGCCATTGTCGACGAGGTAATTGAAGGTGTGGCCATCGCAGTTGTAAGTGAACTTGTTGTTGGTAGCGGGAAGCTTCTGGAGGCACTGAAACGCTATGGAGTTGAAATTGCCGCTGAATTCCGTGTACTCTGCCAGAATCACAGTGCCTCGTGCTACGAACGCGTAGATCAGCGACTTCTGCCCCATTTGATTTGAGCCTTCCTCTGAGACCTTCTGCTTTGCTTAGCTTTTGGTTTCAGAGAGAGGAACAGAGGTTTTGTATTTTCCTTTTTTTTCTCCTTTTGATTTTGTTTTGGAGTTTTGGGTTTTGTTTGTGTGAAGCGCTCTTTCTTTCTCTCTGTGATCTGTCAAGCGCCTTCTCCCACACTGGTTTTGTTTTGGCTCTTTTTGGAGAGAGAGAGAGAGAGAAAAGGGAAAGTAAAGGGGGTTTAATGAGGTTTAAAAAGTAGAAAGAGAAGTATGGAAGAAGAAATGTGAGGTTTGAATCTGATTAAGGATTTTAAACTAGAGAGAGTGGGGGATTTTGGGGAAAGATTTTTGTGAGGTCGGACTCATCTGTGATTCATAAGCTCTACTTTATTTTTTTTCTTTGTTAAATATGCTAATTATCATATGAAAAATTAGATTCCATTTTAAGAGTAAATTTCTACCGTCCTTTCGTTTGTTTTTATGATGAATATGGTTGTTGATTAGGTAAAATTTGAAAATGTGTAATTGTAATTCACAATATGACATTGTGAACATATCACATGTTCAATAGACAATAAACAATTATCCGTTTTTGTAGACGTGGGTTTGGCCAGTTGGCCAGAACAATGAGCCCGACCGTTATATCTAAGTTCAAATTTCCCTCCCTCTAAATTAGATTACTTTTGCAACATTGTTTTCTTCCTCTATGAACATAGATAAATAGGTAAACTCGTATTTGAATATGCATTTTCAATTTTCAATATAGCAACGTAATGTGTAAATATTTGGCAAACCGCAATGGATCATGTATCTTAGAATATAATATTTTTTGTTGTCGGAAAATATAATATTTTATTCAAAATTCATAAGATGTAGCATTTATATGAATATTTGTGAAAATGAATGTGATTATATTTGATTGAAGAGTTTGATTTTTCAATTATTATAACTTCGGGAGATTTCGCATGTAATCAGCCACCAATTAGAGGAGCAACATATGAGATGATACCCAAATCTTATGGAACAGAAAATAAAAACAGAAAATAGCAAAAGTTTAAGGATAAAGTCATATGTTTCCAACGCGTGGCATAGTTTAGGTGCTCTTGTAAAAACTGCCTTCCTACTTGCGTTGTATGGAATAACAATATTTTGCTCTCTTTTTTTAATATAAAAAAGAAACGTCAAAATAAATAATAAAAAGAGATAAAGCATCAACTTGCCCTACCCGCAACGTCACCAACCACTCATAGTCTCATACCCACACATGAAAGAAAAGAAGAAAATATAAATAGAATAACGAGTTTCATTTTCTTCTATCATTTTCTCAAAACTGAAATAAATAAAAAAGGGTTCTCCAAGTGATTTTTTTTGTTTTGGACTTTTCTTATTAAGAGGGGCAATAACATACTGAACTCACACATGCTACACGGATGTTAGGACTCGAACCAAAGACTTTTTCTGGAGGAGCATTTGCTCCAAACCAGTATAATTGCCACAAATAAGCAACTTAAGCCAAAAACTACCCAAATTTTATATTTTTTTGGGGTCATTGCATCCTTTTTCAAACACTGCAATTAGAATAATATCTGGTAAAGCAAAAAAGGGAAAGACAGATTTCATCCCTTGCTTTTGTACTGGGAGCTGATATAATAATATTTCATATAAGAACCTTGCTCCAAGCAGCTAGGGAAAAAACAAAAGCCTTCCTGCTATACTTGAAAATACCATAACTTCAATAGTGTAGAGGCTTGACTTGCTCGACTGACAAGATTTAAAGCCAGTACAAACCCAGCCAGCATGCAATAAAATATGCATTCCCTGAAGATGTATTTTCTATATAGTATGGTACATTTCAGAAATATATTAAGCATGTGCAGGGCAAGATGGAAGAATTAAATAAATCATCCATGTGGTCTCCGACGCTACTATAAACAGGTGCAATAAGCTGCAAAACATCAGAATAATTCGAATATCAGGACAGCCAAAATCCATTTTCCAAAATTTGCTCAAACACAACTAACAGATGCTTGCGTGTTTCATGCGGTAGGCGTATTGCCAATCGTCACAGCTTGCTTAGTTCTTAAAGGTGGCAGCTTAGGTAGCACCCATGCTGGTGAACTGCTGAGCCATAGTGCTTCACCAGTTTCTTTGTGTTTAAAGTCTGGACCTTTTTTGTTCCGCTGTGAGAATTAAAAAAGTAGCAAGGCAACAAATTAATTACAGAAATAATTCTTTTTGGGGGGAGGGGGATAGGAAGGTAGCGTAAAAACAGATCAAATTCAACAGATTACCTTTTCCAATCTATTATCCCACCATTTACCCGGGTTTTCCACCAAGTCCTTCCAGGACTCATCACCTGAATTGAGGGGGATTAATAAAGCAGATGTCTGATTGAATAGGTTATGAAAAATCCACAACCCTTCACTGCCTTAAACAGTGGCATAAAATGATAGCAGAGTACAAGTTGGACAGATAGTGCAGCGTAGTTTATGACAAACTTGTGCAGGCTCACCTCTACTCTCCTTTGCTTGTTTTGACTTCTGAATTTGAACATCAAACTCCATGCCTTCAAGTTCTGACAAAACCGGCTGTGGGGCCTTGTTAAGCCAGAGTGCATGACCACCGTCCTTGCTCTTGAAATCAGGGTGGTTTGGGTTTACCTGTAAAGGAAACAATTATGTCAAAGCTTTTACCAGCAAAATCAGTCTGATAACAAAGGCATTTGAATGAATCATCACCAATCCATTGAGCTTGGGGTTGCGGTAATCCCGCCACTGTTTTGGATTATCAAGAAGGTCTCTCCAAGGACCTAACGTAGAATCCCCATCGTTCTTCAAGCTGGCTGAAAAACAAGTCAGTCCCTTCTTTCTCATCAGTAACAAGATTAAAAGTAATAAAAACACTATAAACATATAATTAGTCAAGTAAACCAAGCATTATAAAATGACATGTGGAATTTTAGTGTCAAGCAATTACTTTCACAACTATCTGATATAGGTTTCTGATCAAATGTTGTGGAATCTAATTTATTTCGGATCCATTCAGGAGTTGAGTCATCAATCCGAAGTACTTCGCCATTATTCTTCCGTTCAAATGCTGCAGCCTTCGGATTATCCTGCGCACAAATTATAATGAGTTATACTTAATTGTTTAACACATCAAAGGATCAACATCCCCATTTATATAAAACACAAATGGTACTAAAGAAAAAAATAAATTGAAATAACCCATATAAAGATTGCTACCTCTTTCGGGTTTTGTTTGTGTGAAGCGCTCTTTCTTTCTCTCTGTGATCTGTCAAGCGCCTTCTCCCACACTGGTTTTGTTTTGGCTCTTTTTGGAGAGAGAGAGAGAGAGAGAGAGAGAAAAGGGAAAGTAAAGGGGGTTTAATGAGGTTTAAAAAGTAGAAAGAGGAGTATGGAAGAAGAAATGTGAGGTTTGAATCTGATTAAGGATTTTAAACTAGAGAGAGTGGGGGATTTTGGGGAAAGATTTTTGTGAGGTCGGACTCATCTGTGATTCATAAGCTCTACTTTATTTTTTTTCTTTGTTAAATATGCTAATTATCATATGAAAAATTAGATTCCATTTTAAGAGTAAATTTCTACCGTCCTTTCGTTTGTTTTTATGATGAATATGGTTGTTGATTAGGTAAAATTTGAAAATGTGTAATTGTAATTCACAATATGACATTGTGAACATATCACATGTTCAATAGACAATAAACAATTATCCGTTTTTGTAGACGTGATTTTGGCCAGTTGGCCAGAACAATGAGCCCGACCGTTATATCTAAGTTCAAATTTCCCTCCCTCTAAATTAGATTACTTTTGCAACATTGTTTTCTTCCTCTATGAACATAGATAAATAGGTAAACTCGTATTTGAATATGCATTTTCAATTTTCAATATAGCAACGTAATGTGTAAATATTTGGCAAACCGCAATGGATCATGTATCTTAGAATATAATATTTTTTGTTGTCGGAAAATATAATATTTTATTCAAAATTCATAAGATGTAGCATTTATATGAATATTTGTGAAAATGAATGTGATTATATTTGATTGAAGAGTTTGATTTTTCAATTATTATAACTTCGGGAGATTTCGCATGTAATCAGCCACCAATTAGAGGAGCAACATATGAGATGATACCCAAATCTTATGGAACAGAAAATAAAAACAGAAAATAGCAAAAGTTTAAGGATAAAGTCATATGTTTCCAACGCGTGGCATAGTTTAGGTGCTCTTGTAAAAACTGCCTTCCTACTTGCGTTGTATGGAATAACAATATTTTGCTCTCTTTTTTTAATATAAAAAAGAAACGTCAAAATAAATAATAAAAAGAGATAAAGCATCAACTTGCCCTACCCGCAACGTCACCAACCACTCATAGTCTCATACCCACACATGAAAGAAAAGAAGAAAATATAAATAGAATAACGAGTTTCATTTTCTTCTATCATTTTCTCAAAACTGAAATAAATAAAAAAGGGTTCTCCAAGTGATTTTTTTTGTTTTGGACTTTTCTTATTAAGAGGGGCAATAACATACTGAACTCACACATGCTACACGGATGTTAGGACTCGAACCAAAGACTTTTTCTGGAGGAGCATTTGCTCCAAACCAGTATAATTGCCACAAATAAGCAACTTAAGCCAAAAACTACCCAAATTTTATATTTTTTTGGGGTCATTGCATCCTTTTTCAAACACTGCAATTAGAATAATATCTGGTAAAGCAAAAAAGGGAAAGACAGATTTCATCCCTTGCTTTTGTACTGGGAGCTGATATAATAATATTTCATATAAGAACCTTGCTCCAAGCAGCTAGGGAAAAAACAAAAGCCTTCCTGCTATACTTGAAAATACCATAACTTCAATAGTGTAGAGGCTTGACTTGCTCGACTGACAAGATTTAAAGCCAGTACAAACCCAGCCAGCATGCAATAAAATATGCATTCCCTGAAGATGTATTTTCTATATAGTATGGTACATTTCAGAAATATATTAAGCATGTGCAGGGCAAGATGGAAGAATTAAATAAATCATCCATGTGGTCTCCGACGCTACTATAAACAGGTGCAATAAGCTGCAAAACATCAGAATAATTCGAATATCAGGACAGCCAAAATCCATTTTCCAAAATTTGCTCAAACACAACTAACAGATGCTTGCGTGTTTCATGCGGTAGGCGTATTGCCAATCGTCACAGCTTGCTTAGTTCTTAAAGGTGGCAGCTTAGGTAGCACCCATGCTGGTGAACTGCTGAGCCATAGTGCTTCACCAGTTTCTTTGTGTTTAAAGTCTGGACCTTTTTTGTTCCGCTGTGAGAATTAAAAAAGTAGCAAGGCAACAAATTAATTACAGAAATAATTCTTTTTGGGGGGAGGGGGATAGGAAGGTAGCGTAAAAACAGATCAAATTCAACAGATTACCTTTTCCAATCTATTATCCCACCATTTACCCGGGTTTTCCACCAAGTCCTTCCAGGACTCATCACCTGAATTGAGGGGGATTAATAAAGCAGATATCTGATTGAATAGGTTATGAAAAATCCACAACCCTTCACTGCCTTAAACAGTGGCATAAAATGATAGCAGAGTACAAGTTGGACAGATAGTGCAGCGTAGTTTATGACAAACTTGTGCAGGCTCACCTCTACTCTCCTTTGCTTGTTTTGACTTCTGAATTTGAACATCAAACTCCATGCCTTCAAGTTCTGATAAAACCGGCTGTGGGGCCTTGTTAAGCCAGAGTGCATGACCACCGTCCTTGCTCTTGAAATCAGGGTGGTTTGGGTTTACCTGTAAAGGAAACAATTATGTCAAAGCTTTTACCAGCAAAATCAGTCTGATAACAAAGGCATTTGAATGAATCATCACCAATCCATTGAGCTTGGGGTTGCGGTAATCCCGCCACTGTTTTGGATTATCAAGAAGGTTTCTCCAAGGACCTAACGTAGAATCCCCATCGTTCTTCAAGCTGGCTGAAAAACAAGTCAGTCCCTTCTTTCTCATCAGTAACAAGATTAAAAGTAATAAAAACACTATAAACATATAATTAGTCAAGTAAACCAAGCATTATAAAATGACATGTGGAATTTTAGTGTCAAGCAATTACTTTCACAACTATCTGATATAGGTTTCTGATCAAATGTTGTGGAATCTAACTTATTTCGGATCCATTCAGGAGTTGAGTCATCAATCCGAAGTACTTCGCCATTATTCTTCCGTTCAAATGCTGCAGCCTTCGGATTATCCTGCGCACAAATTATAATGAGTTATACTTAATTGTTTAACACATCAAAGGATCAACATCCCCATTTATATAAAACACAAATGGTACTAAAGAAAAAAATCAATTGAAATAATCCATATAAAAATTGCTACCTCTAACGACCTGATGTCCCACCACTCATGAGGCTTGGCAAGGAGATCTTTCCATGTGAGGAGATTTTTCCATGATTTCTCCATGTCCTCCTTTACACCTGCTGCTACTATAAAAGTATGTATGAAAATTGTTAGAGATTGTTAAATGGTAACTAGGGTATCATTTTTAGTTTGACTTCAATGACTGTTAAGTCCACTGTACTATCGATGCTGAACACAAAACATAATTTTCCACATAGTAAAGAAGTCATATTATCTTAAATTATAAATTCAAAATAACTAGAAGAGAGATATTCTTGTCGGAATTCAAAATGTGCAATAGATTAGTATGCTGAAGAAATCTTAAATAGGAAACCAAGGAACCAAGCTTGTGACAGTCAAGAGACTCAAAAAGGTGACGATAACCTGAAAAACTTTATAAACTCAACCTCGGAAATTTATCAATAACACATTTGGCGGTGCTATTGCTTTCCATGTTCACAAGAATTCGGTGGACATCCAATTTCACACCAACCTAGAATGTTTCACTATATTGAAAGCTATTCTCAAACTGACTGTCGTGATCCCAAACGAAAATGAGCTAAACCAAGTTTTTGAGGAAGTTAAGTTAGGGTCAGATTGGAAATTACACAACCAAATACGCTGGTTGGATTTCAGTTTCTGTATTTTAGTACCTACCAATCCAAGCAAAGCTGAATGTCTAATGTAAACAGTTTATGAAAATCTAGAACAACAGTTTACTATGGTAAAACATAAAAACTACACAGCATTCCATACTAACTCCTAATTACCACCAAACGTTGTAGCACAAAGGTATTTCTCCAGCATTCTTATAATTGAGAATTCTTGATAGCATCTTCTAATGAAGTAGCACCTCCAAAGGTGAGGAGGGATTTAGGTGTGAACATTAGACTTTTTAACAAGAAAAATTGGAAGTAGAAAGAGTAAAATGAGGAAGGCATAAGAAAAATGCATACGACCACATCCACAAACAACATACTCCTTTACACCTGCTGCTACTATAAAAGTATGTATGAAAATTGTTAGAGATTGTTAAATGGTAACTAGGGTATCATTTTTAGTTTGACTTCAATGACTGTTAAGTCCACTGTATTATCGATGCTGAACACAAAACATAATTTTCCACATAGTAAAGAAGTCATATTATCTTAAATTATAAATTCAAAATAACTAGAAGAGGGATATTCTTGTCGGAATTCAAAATGTGCAATAGATTAGTATGCTGAAGAAATCTTAAATAGGAAACCAAGGAACCAAGCTTGATAAACAGGTGCAATAAGCTGCAAAACATCAGAATAATTCGAATATCAGGACAGCCAAAATCCATTTTCCAAAATTTGCTCAAACACAACTAACAGATGCTTGCGTGTTTCATGCGGTAGGCGTATTGCCAATCGTCACAGCTTGCTTAGTTCTTAAAGGTGGCAGCTTAGGTAGCACCCATGCTGGTGAACTGCTGAGCCATAGTGCTTCACCAGTTTCTTTGTGTTTAAAGTCTGGACCTTTTTTGTTCCGCTGTGAGAATTAAAAAAGTAGCAAGGCAACAAATTAATTACAGAAATAATTCTTTTTGGGGGGAGGGGGATAGGAAGGTAGCGTAAAAACAGATCAAATTCAACAGATTACCTTTTCCAATCTATTATCCCACCATTTACCCGGGTTTTCCACCAAGTCCTTCCAGGACTCATCACCTGAATTGAGGGGGATTAATAAAGCAGATATCTGATTGAATAGGTTATGAAAAATCCACAACCCTTCACTGCCTTAAACAGTGGCATAAAATGATAGCAGAGTACAAGTTGGACAGATAGTGCAGCGTAGTTTATGACAAACTTGTGCAGGCTCACCTCTACTCTCCTTTGCTTGTTTTGACTTCTGAATTTGAACATCAAACTCCATGCCTTCAAGTTCTGATAAAACCGGCTGTGGGGCCTTGTTAAGCCAGAGTGCATGACCACCGTCCTTGCTCTTGAAATCAGGGTGGTTTGGGTTTACCTGTAAAGGAAACAATTATGTCAAAGCTTTTACCAGCAAAATCAGTCTGATAACAAAGGCATTTGAATGAATCATCACCAATCCATTGAGCTTGGGGTTGCGGTAATCCCGCCACTGTTTTGGATTATCAAGAAGGTTTCTCCAAGGACCTAACGTAGAATCCCCATCGTTCTTCAAGCTGGCTGAAAAACAAGTCAGTCCCTTCTTTCTCATCAGTAACAAGATTAAAAGTAATAAAAACACTATAAACATATAATTAGTCAAGTAAACCAAGCATTATAAAATGACATGTGGAATTTTAGTGTCAAGCAATTACTTTCACAACTATCTGATATAGGTTTCTGATCAAATGTTGTGGAATCTAACTTATTTCGGATCCATTCAGGAGTTGAGTCATCAATCCGAAGTACTTCGCCATTATTCTTCCGTTCAAATGCTGCAGCCTTCGGATTATCCTGCGCACAAATTATAATGAGTTATACTTAATTGTTTAACACATCAAAGGATCAACATCCCCATTTATATAAAACACAAATGGTACTAAAGAAAAAAATCAATTGAAATAATCCATATAAAAATTGCTACCTCTAACGACCTGATGTCCCACCACTCATGAGGCTTGGCAAGGAGATCTTTCCATGTGAGGAGATTTTTCCATGATTTCTCCATGTCCTCCTTTACACCTGCTGCTACTATAAAAGTATGTATGAAAATTGTTAGAGATTGTTAAATGGTAACTAGGGTATCATTTTTAGTTTGACTTCAATGACTGTTAAGTCCACTGTACTATCGATGCTGAACACAAAACATAATTTTCCACATAGTAAAGAAGTCATATTATCTTAAATTATAAATTCAAAATAACTAGAAGAGGGATATTCTTGTCGGAATTCAAAATGTGCAATAGATTAGTATGCTGAAGAAATCTTAAATAGGAAACCAAGGAACCAAGCTTGTGACAGTCAAGAGACTCAAAAAGGTGACGATAACCTGAAAAACTTTATAAACTCAACCTCGGAAATTTATCAATAACACATTTGGCGGTGCTATTGCTTTCCATGTTCACAAGAATTCGGTGGACATCCAATTTCACACCAACCTAGAATGTTTCACTATATTGAAAGCTATTCTCAAACTGACTGTCGTGATCCCAAACGAAAATGAGCTAAACCAAGTTTTTGAGGAAGTTCAGTTAGGGTCAGATTGGAAATTACACAACCAAATACGCTGGTTGGATTTCAGTTTCTGTATTTTAGTACCTACCAATCCAACCAAAGCTGAATGTCTAATGTAAACAGTTTATGAAAATCTAGAACAGTTTACTATGGTAAAACATAAAAACTACACAGCATTCCATACTAACTCCTAATTACCACCAAACGTTGTAGCACAAAGGTATGTCTCCAGCATTCTTATAATTGAGAATTCTTGATAGCATCTTCTAATGAAGTAGCACCTCCAAAGGTGAGGAGGGATTTAGGTGTGAACATTAGACTTTTTAACAAGAAAAATTGGAAGTAGAAAGAGTAAAATGAGGAAGGCATAAGAAAAATGCATACGACCACATCCACAAACAACATACAAAGTTGCAAACATGCCAGCATAAAAGGAACAGGTATAAACTCTTTCAACAGATATAAACATTATATTTCAAATCAAAGTAATCACTAATTGAATGTTGTAAATCACAAATGCATGCTACATCTGAAATATAAATATAGAAGGCCAACGGAAGTATGGATTAATGAAATCAAATTCATGCACTCTAGTGGCAATGTTTTCAGCATGTTAAATCTCCCAGGTTTCAACGTGACAGTCAAGAGACTCAAAAAGGTGACGATAACCTGAAAAACTTTATAAACTCAACCTCGGAAATTTATCAATAACACATTTGGCGGTGCTATTGCTTTCCATGTTCACAAGAATTCGGTGGACATCCAATTTCGCACCAACCTAGAATGTTTCACTATATTGAAAGCTATTCTCAAACTGACTGTCGTGATCCCAAACGAAAATGAGCTAAACCAAGTTTTTGAGGAAGTTCAGTTAGGGTCAGATTGGAAATTACACAACCAAATACGCTGGTTGGATTTCAGTTTCTGTATTTTAGTACCTACCAATCCAAGCAAAGCTGAATGTCTAATGTAAACAGTTTATGAAAATCTAGAACAGTTTACTATGGTAAAACATAAAAACTACACAGCATTTTCCATGATTTCTCCATGTCCTCCTTTACACCTGCTGCTACTATAAAAGTATGTATGAAAATTGTTAGAGATTGTTAAATGGTAACTAGGGTATCATTTTTAGTTTGACTTCAATGACTGTTAAGTCCACTGTACTATCGATGCTGAACACAAAACATAATTTTCCACATAGTAAAGAAGTCATATTATCTTAAATTATAAATTCAAAATAACTAGAAGAGGGATATTCTTGTCGGAATTCAAAATGTGCAATAGATTAGTATGCTGAAGAAATCTTAAATAGGAAACCAAGGAACCAAGCTTGTGACAGTCATGAGACTCAAAACGGTGACGATAACCTAAAAAACTTAATAAACTCAACCTCGGAAATTTATCAATAACACATTTGGTGGTGCTATTGCTTTCCATGTTCACAAGAATTCGGTGGACATCCAATTTCACACCAACCTAGAATGTTTCACTATATTGAAAGCTATTCTCAAACTGACTGTCGTGATCCCAAACGAAAATGAGCTAAACCAAGTTTTTGAGGAAGTTCAGTTAGGGTCAGATTGGAAATTACACAACCAAATACGCTGGTTGGATTTCAGTTTCTGTATTTTAGTACCTACCAATCCAACCAAAGCTGAATGTCTAATGTAAACAGTTTATGAAAATCTAGAACAGTTTACTATGGTAAAACATAAAAACTACACAGCATTCCATACTAACTCCTAATTACCACCAAACGTTGTAGCACAAAGGTATTTCTCCAGCATTCTTATAATTGAGAATTCTTGATAGCATCTTCTAATGAAGTAGCACCTCCAAAGGTGAGGAGGGATTTAGGTGTGAACATTAGACTTTTTAACAAGAAAAATTGGAAGTAGAAAGAGTAAAATGAGGAAGGCATAAGAAAAATGCATACGACCACATCCACAAACAACATACAAAGTTGCAAACATGCCAGCATAAAAGGAACAGGTATAAACTCTTTCAACAGATATAAACATTATATTTCAAATCAAAGTAATCACTAATTGAATGTTGTAAATCACAAATGCATGCTACATCTGAAATATAAATATAGAAGGCCAACGGAAGTATGGATTAATGAAATCAAATTCATGCACTCTAGTGGCAATGTTTTCAGCATGTTAAATCTCCCAGGTTTCAACATTACATAGAAAAGGTAGCACTTGATCCTTGAGTGCATGATGACCATCCAAGTACTATAAGGTGACAAAACAGGCTGAGAATCACTTAAAAGAATTTACCTGTGTGATCAATGGTCTTTTCTTCTTGTCTGTCATCTTTAGAGCTTTTTTTCGTTTGAGAAGATTCTTCGACAAAGTAAAGAGTATGCACCATAACCTAATGTTCGATACATGTAAGTACAAACCAATAAAAAGAAACGACTGGGAAAGAGAGAAAATACTGAGCAAAATTTTTCTACCTGCCACATTTGCTAAAACAAAGTATGAAATCACAGTAATATTGGCTTCTAACCATGTGACATAAGCCTCAGAATTACAAGCAGCAAGACCGAAACTACGAAAACGGCAGAATTAAAATAAACTCAACCATACTAATAAATTGCTCGAGCAAGTTTGAGTTAAGGCAGCATTGGCTTCTTTCGATACGGAGATGCACCGAGATTACAGAGTCGCCATTATAAAAGACATCCAGTTAATTACATCAGGAAACAAAGTGATAGCACAGATGTCAATCCAAACTCAACACTTACATTATCTAAGTGAAATTACGTGTACCCACATTTCTAGCAACCACAGAAACTGGAAATTCAGCTTAAAGGGTCCACTAGATGTTACCTGGAGAGGGGTCTGGCCCTTACTAGCATTTAGATGATGCAAATCCGACCTCAAACTTCCAGCTACAAACACAAAGTCATTCTCTTTCAAATGCAAACTGGCAATATGAGCCAAGTCACCCTCAAATATTATGGGCATCCTGGAAATAACAAAACCCAATACAAAATCAAAAACTCCTACAAAATGACAACAAAAGGAACAAACAAAAGTAATTAAAATCAACAATACTTTAGAGAATGAGACGAAGATGAAGAAGAGGAGAGAATGGTGGCAGCCCAAACGTTCCCATCAGGGGTAGCTTGGGATTGAAGAGGGGTATGCACGTGACCAATGAGGCGCACTGAATTGGCAACCTTCGGCTGGAACGGGACTTCGACCGGCCTCGGCCAATCGACCTTTGGCGGTGGTTTGGAAGGAGGAGGTTTAGTGATGGTTTTAGTGTTTTGGGTTTTGGGTTTAGTTTTTCCAGTGGTGGTGGCGTAGTGAGATTGCAGAAGCTGCAGGGGACGCAAGAGAAGAAGGCGTTTTTTTGTGGTTATTGCTCTGCATATTGAATTCATGGCCAAAACCACCCTTCGGGTTTTCGGTCCTGTGCTTCTGGGGTTTTAGGATCTGAGACTGGAGAGGACCAAGGTAGCCGTATGCTTTTGTGATTGCTACCGTGCATAGTTTAAGGGAACATCCGTAAATAGCACCGATATACCTAAGCCTATTGCCAAAGTATCACAACTTGGTACATACGGGTCCAATTAGACAAGAAATTGTGTCTGCCTATTATATTCAAATTCGACTTCCTTTTTGTATATCAAAATTTAATATGAGAGATTCGAACTTGAGTACAACGAGGTGGACTAACTGTCGTGGTCAGCTAGTTTAATCCACTAATGTGTTACAACTTAAAATTCAAAGAAAAAAAATTCAAAGCAGGAGTATGGTTTTTGAAACAATCCAAGGAAATAATTGAAAATTTCGGGGCACATGATTGCAAAAGAATCCATCATGTAGGACTAAACAAGTACATATTATTCATACAACAAACATATCATATATGTCTTTCTTCTGAGAGTTTCACGTTATTCTCATTCATGTCACAGAGGAATTAATGAAACAATTGTATATTACGTACATTACAACATAAGGATCAATTGGTCTAGCAAGGAAGGTTTCTCTGTCTGTGCATCAACCAGATCTTATTAACCTGAGTCGGGTTGCGTCCCGAATTATTACCACAACAATTGAAAAAGGGTAGATAAAATGTACTTTGTTATGGAACTCAAAAGAAGGTACGTAGGAGAGATGATGGACATGATGGATGCAGCAACTTTCTACAGCACTGCAGCCCTAATGTCCTTATCTAGCTTGGACTGCGGGGAACTCATAGCTGGCTGCAGATTGCTAATGTGATGAGGAGTAAGCTGAGTAGTTGAGTGCAGCAAAACCCCCTTATGATCTGAATTAATAAAAAAAAATTGAAAGGAAAGATGAATTACCAAATCGACAGTTATCTTATGAAACATAAATTTGTTTGTGGGACAAAGGACATACCGAAGCTGCTATTCCTGCTCATCATCCGTTTGGAGACAGAGGACGTACTGAAGCTGATATTTTCATGAAAAAATAAGTAGGAAACCAGAGTGAGTTAGTAGTTTTCAGTCAATGTAAAGGGATTTGTTTGTGGGACAAAGGACGTACCGAAGCTGCTATTCCTGTTCATCATCCGTCTGGAGACAGAGGACGTACTGAAGCTGATATTTTCATGAAAAATAAGTAGGAAACCAGAGTTAGTTAGCAGGTTTTCAGTCAATGTAAAGGGGAATTGTGAAAGCAACAAGTTGTCTAACGAACTTAAACTTTGATGTGCAAATGAAAGACTAACCTTGGATTGGGTTGGTGAGAAGTTATGATCTTCATCTTCAGTTCATGAAAGCTCCAAATGGTTTGCTCCTGGTCAGGATTATTACCCTTCATTTCTCCCTTATGTCCGTTGTTGTTCAGTTCAAGTGGATCAACCAAAACCAACTCTTTGGGCTCTTTTGCCTCATTGTATTTGTCCATTTGACGATTGTGAAAGCAACAAGTTGTCTAACGAACTTAAACTTTGATGTGCAAACAAAAGACTAACCTTGGATTGGGTTGGTGAGAAGTTATGATCTCCATCTTCAGTTCATGAAAGCAAATGGTTTGCTCCTGGTCAGGATTATTGCCCTTTATTTCTCCCTTATATCCGTTGTTGTTCAGTTCAAGTGGATCAACCAAAACCAACTCTTTGGGCTCTTTTGCCTCATTGTATTTGTCCATTTGACGTCGCCTGATGGAAATTTTTTTGAGTTTTGACAAGGATTGCAACATCTCAATCCTGAATAAGTAGACCAAGTTTTCACAGTCCGAGATATGGATGACTTCTAGGTGATCCAGATGAGGTTGAAGCTGAAATGGAAGTACTTCGCCGCTGTCTCCTTTGGACTCTATTAGCGCCTTCATCTTCGGACATTTTTCAACTGAGATTGTTTCGATGTTTGGAAGGTTGTACAACGTGTCCCTCTTGAATAAATAGACCAAACTCTCACAGCCAGAGATATTGATGACCTTCAAACTATCTAGACTATAACTTGGCAACCAATGTAGATCCAAATTTCTCATTACATGCAGCTCATATGTCTCTCCTGGGAGTGTGATTGGTTGTCCTTTCACATGGAAGTCGCTTTGGATGAAAAGTACGCTGTTTTTGCGAAACTTTGTTTCATGAGTACAAGAAACATCACCCACGCAGACTTTCAATTTGTATAGATGATGAGTCTTGGAAACAGCATATCTGTTAAAGTCTTCTGCATCTGGGAACTTGGCCTGAAGAATAGCTAAGCGGCTAAGGATTCCAGGCTTCTCAATACTACTTGCTCCGTTCAACAAAGAACCTGTGGCAGAGTCATCATTAGTTATCATCAACACTTCTTCTAGACTGACTAATGCATGCACAACTTCCGCTGGAAATTCTCCCACACATGTACGAGACAGGTTTAGGCGAATGAGCTTAGTTAGTTTCTTCATTCCATCGGGCAATTTTGTTATGGGAGTATCAGAAAGGTCAAGAAGAAGAAGTTCCTCAGAGTTTTCCAAAGAAGGCAGGGCTTTCAAGTAGGGACAATTGCGCAGAAGGAGTGCCGTTAGATTTTTCAAGCACGAGGCTGACTGTGGAAGGGTAGAGATGTTGGTCTGAGAAAGGTCAAGAACTTTGAGGTTAGGCATATTACAAAAGAAATTGTCGTGTAAATGAATGATGGGGTTGTTCTGCAGAAGTAATGTGGACAGCTTGGAAAACTTGGGCTGTTCCATAATTGCTAGAATCTTATTTGTCATCAATGAGGCTCTCTCTAATCCAAACAAGTACTTTCCCGGTTGCAAGGGCAAGTGCGCGTGGGGAAGCTTCTCGCCAGCTTTGATGAGAAACTGACCAGGGCTGGTAAGATGGACTGCCATTTTCCTAGCTAAGTTGCGCATCTTGATCATGTCGTGTTTGCCTTCCACAGCAGGAAGGCCTTGTTGATCTTGAGGACTGTCTACTTTTTCCACAAGGTGTGCTCTTAAGAGCTCATGGAGTATCTTTTTTGCTTGTCCCATATCTTCTATGTGTCCGCTTCTATCATTGCGGTTGATCAAACCCTCCCAATACCAATACTCGACTAATTCCTTTGTCTCAATCAGATGACCACTTGGGTATAATGCACAGTAGAGAAAACAATTCTGAGTTTCTTTGTTCAACGCATCGTAGTTGTCTTTTAGACGATTAAATGCTTTTTCATTCATGCCATCCAAGATATCAGGAGACTCTTTTAACATGTCAAATGTTGCATTCCATGCAACAACATCGTTGACATGAGAACCGTCATTGTTCTTCAATTCTTTCAAGGTTTGTGCCAGCCAGATGATGGTAAAGGGCAAACATTCCCATTCATCTATCATTTTCTTTGCATTAGCTTGAATATCTTCCCTTAATTTTGACAATTCAATGCCAGCTTCGATCTCAAACAACGTTCGCGCCTCTCCACTCGGTAGAGGCTGGATCTTAACATATTTACCAATTCTGATGTCGGGACACACGGGAAGTGATCTCGACACGATTATGATCTTGCAGCCATTTTCCAGGGTTGGCACTGGAATCCCGATTGACTTGAGAGGGAAATCATTCCGCATATCATCTAAAATGATCAGAAACGTTAACTCCTTCAGCTCATTTGCCAGTGTGTCTGCCCTACTCCCGCCAGCAGTTTTCAAGTCGATTTTTAGTTGCTCTGCAATTTTGTTTTGCAAGTTATCAATGGGTGATTCAGTTCCTTTGTGCTCCACAGTTACCCAAATGACTTTATCAAAGTGATCCTTCGTGCTGTTACCGGTAATTGGTAACGTGGACGGTGGTGATGAGGCCATACTGTAGTCATTCAGTATGCTGTCGTTGACTGCAGATACAATTTCAGTCTTCCCCGAACCAGGCATTCCATGAACACGTATCGTCTGAAAATCCTTCCCTGTTACATACCCCTTAATCTCTTTGATCTTATTTTCTGCCTCTCCCAAAAGCTTTGTTCTGCTGCCTCTCAGCCGTCCCACCACAACCGATTCGTCCACGAGGAGGAAATCTTTGCCCTCCTCATGCACTGCATCCAACCGTCCAATGAAATCTTCAATTTCTTTCCCAGCATTGTACTGTGAAAAACAATTTAGTGGTTCATAGAAAGGATTAATGTCACTTATTTGCTCTCGAAAACGCAACGGATTAGCATCTTTCATCAGATTCTTTGCCGTTTTCAGCCACTCGGAGTTTTTGAATGACTTGAGCACCACCTTGCCCCTGGACTGTCGTTTTACTTCATACAATTGTCGTCCCAGATCATTCCGTTTACTCTCTAAAATCTCTAGTCTTTCTCTGCGTTTCTTGAAAAAATGGTAGCGCTTCGTCACAGTTTCACGGATACATGGTGAAGATATCAGATTTACAACTACGGTTACACAGCCACATACGCTGGCAACAATTGCAATGGTTCCTGCAATTCAAGGAAGAGCCAAGATTACATAATTAAGTTGCAACAACTATAGGACAAATACAAGCCTAATAGAATACTTATAGGGCTCGTTTGGTACACGAGACTGTCTTGGCATGGACTATGCTTAGGGACTGTCTTGGCTTGGCTTGGCTTGGTCTAAGTTGGATAACACTTATCCTGCGTTTGGTGTACGCTTGGACTAGGACTAGATTTTTTATTTTTTATTTCAAAACTATCTACGTATATGTATATATGTATATATATATATACATATATATATATATATATATATATATATATATATATATATATATATATATATATATATATATATATATATATATATATATATATATATATATATATATATATATATATATATATATATATATATATATATATATATATATATATATATATATATATATATATATATATATATATATATATATATATATATATATATATATATATATATATATATATATATATATATATATATATATATATATATATATATATATATATATATATATATATATATATATATATATATATATATATATATATATGTATATATGTATAAATACATGTATTATGTATGTGTACATATGTATTTTATAATATATGTGACATGTATGTGTATATACATGTATATGTGTTTATGGGTATATTATAATAATAATATACATGTATATATTATATATGTATATATATACATATATACATATATGATATATTTATGTGTATATACATGTATATATGTACATTATAGTATATGTGTAAGTAAGTTTAATAATAATAATATATGTTATTAATTTTACAATATAATATATGCATTTTATACATTGGTCATCATTAGGACTAGCTAATCCTCCATTTCCACATGGGATTAGTAGTCCCCTCCTAAGGAGGTGTTTTTGGTGGGCCCGGTATTAGCAATCTCATCTAAGACTAGGATTAGATAAAACAAACATGGTACTAAATTTAGTCCAAGCCAATCCTGTGTACCAAACGAGCCCATACATTACAATATAAACAGTAACCAGATTTATCTAGCACATCTACGATGGAAAGTATATCTTAAAATAAAAAGGTTGAACTTTTTCATGCAGATGCAAGCCATGACTGCGCCATGAAATGTAGTGCTGATAAAGATAGTGATAATACGTACTGTTCTGTCATGCTTCAGTGTAAATGTAACACTCATTATATAGTGAAAACCGAAAACACATGTTCCAAATTTAGGCATCAACAATAATATAATCACACGATAAAAAAAAACTAATAAATAATTTGCTAAGAGTAGCGTACCAACTGTCATTATAGCCCGTTTTAGTCACTCTTTCGTGTCGAATCACAAATTTATGGTTTAGTATCTCTCGTATATTAGAGGACAATGCGAACCCTACAAAGAAAAACAAAGAAAAATAATTTAAAAAAATAAAACTAAAACAAATAATACACTTCACTTCATTGATGAAGCCCCTCGCCTCCCAACCAACATCTAAAAATATGAGGTCTTTACTAGGGGTGCAAGTTGGATTGGAAATTATGATTTCAACCAGAAAATTTTCGATTTTGGCGAGTCCAAATTAATTCCAACCAGAAAATTGGATTGGAACTAGAAATTTATTTATTCAACCAGAAAATTGGATTGGAACTAGAGTATTTCAAGATTCAGAAAATTCCGAATTCCGAAATATAATGAGGGTTCAAGTTTAGACTATACATAATGACTAGTTTCATGATGAATTTGATATGAATTAATGACCAAATAGACATAGATATCTATTTCATAAGGGATAATAACATATAATAGTGTTTTGAGCTTTTCCATATGATTTTTAAATTTTGAGCCAATTTTAACCTTTCAAATTGTTAGACATGTTTAAATTTTCAATCATTTTCAGAAATTTCCAAAAAAAATCCGAAAATTACGAGTTTTCCAAATTGGAATGGATGTTGAAATTCTAAATTTTTTTGGAATAGAATTGGAAAAGAATTTTCATTCAGAAATTTTTTTTGGAATGGAATTGGAATCCCTTGATTCCGATTTGAGTTAACTAATTAATAAGTTAATATCATATGATCTAGCTATTCATTTTTAGGTCCTAAGACCATCTCCAACCCATGAGGGGCTAAACTCAAATTTTCCCCCTTCAAAAATTGACTATTTGGGTTTTGCCCGGACTCAAATCGTTTTTTCTCCCAACCCTCCGGACTCAAATTTTAGGTCCGCAATTTTATTAAATTGTTTGAGAATGGTTTAAGTCTAATTTTTTTTTAATGGATAACTTTTCTTCATTCAATCTTTTTAAATAACTTCATAATTAAAATTTTTGAACAATTTGACCTAAAAAAATTAAAATTCCATAAATATAGTTTTATTCCAAAAGAAAACACACAACATAAAGTTTGGAGTGAGTTTTGGGGTTGGATCTGATCTAGATTAATTTAAAATATTACTTTGACTGTTGGATTTTTTTTTTTTACTGTTAAAATAACTTAGATTTAATCCCCATCGTTAATTTAAGCTATATGTACATACACAAAAAAACAAAAAAAAAAGCAAACAGCAACTTAATTCAAAGGTTGCCGTTGGATTCCAACAGTAACTCCATAGGGCAGCGACAAGTGGCGCAAAGAGAAGACAAAAGGCAGCTGCAAATTTGGAGGTGGGGCCCGAATCTTTGCACATGGGGGTGGGTTTGAGATGCAGGTGGGCTTCACAAAGGATTTGGGTCCAGACAATAAGTGGACTAGTATTTGGGTCCAAATTTGGGTTTTCCCAAATTTTGGATCCTTCATTTTATTGGGTTGGGAGAGATTTTGGGGAATATTTTAGGTTTAGGTCGTTGGATTGGAGATGGCCTAAGGGACCATGATGATCCAAATTCATTAAATCACAAAATCATTGGTCATCTAGTTATGATTGAATAAATAAATAACCACGATAATACAAATGATATTGAGAAAGGGGAATCGAGATATCCTTAAATGAGAACCTAATAAATAAACAGGGTCATGGTATTTCAACTTGAAGTCAAATTCAATATAAAAATAAGTTTGGTAAGGTAGGTTAGGGGGGAGAAAGATTAACCTTGTGTTTCAAAGAACCGGTAAGGGACGCTTTTTATGGCATTTCAACAACCAAGTCATCTGCAACAAAAGTGAAAACGAGCTTCTCTTTTTCTTAGATCACTAGTGAACAAACGAAAAAGAGAAGCAAGCAAAATAATATTCCAAATATTTTAGTCCAATATTCTTATAAATAGTAAAAGCTAATGACATAAACAGAAGTTGTATATGAGACGACGAAACCAACCTGTAGGCTGTGTATATGAGAGCTTTTCTTCGTTCTGGAGCAGAAGAGAGTGATATTTAAGAGAGATTTTCTGATATTTCATGGCTTTATAACCACTGGAAGTGACAGAATGCTTGTGACTTCCTGAGTCTTTAAATAAGACTAATTAATTTTCGGGTCATTTTTAACAATAATAATAATATTTTTTTAATTCTTACTTGTTATGTTCACCGAATAAATATTGTAATCAAAAGCGACCTCCAGGGTCTCTCCTCTTGAACATCTTCACAGTTGTGAGTTGTCCGCTCAACGATTGTATACAACTTGGAATAGAAAAAAAGAAAAAAATAAAGGTCGTATAGGCTTTTTCTAAGGGAAACTTCATCATGCAACCAACGTTATAATTATTATTATGGTATTCTGATATTGAACATGTTCAATTAAGTTATGTCAACTTATTAATAATAATTAATGTTACTCATTATCATGGCACGAACAAAAATTAGATGATATCTAAGACTCACAACTAGATATATTCGCATTTCAAAATTGTTGACGAGTCTTTTGAAGATGCTCTTAATATTAGCTTTCTGCTCTGTTAATTGTGACTCTATCATTTTTTTGCTCAATTAATGTTAGCAAATATTATTTTATTTGAATTTTTTTTTTATATAGCAATGCTCCATGAACTTATGGACTTTCAATTTGGCTACGACATCAACGCTACTACATGCTTTTACCCATATGATTGACAAAACAAATATATGAGCAATATAATTGATGAAAAAGATTTGAAAGTGAGTCATATCTCCCCAAAGTTGAATTTTTAGTCATTCCCAACCACAAATCTGACAATTTAAAGAAAGAATTGTCGTGTCTCACCATTTTATCCGTTTTCAATATTCTTTTTGTCAATTAAACACCAAGATATATAATATATAAAAAACACTTCATACCACCACAAAAGATGATGCCAAATGCTAACGGGGTATAACCCAATCGAAAAGGGGCTTAGTTTGCAGACCAAAGGTCTCAGGTTCAAATCCCCTAAACATTATAGTTGTGTATGTATGTAAGAAATCCTCATCCCCTATGGTTTAGTTAGACTATTGCTTATACTTAAAAAAAAAAAAAAAGATGATGCCAAACACATTACATTAATCCATCCATTTTATTAAAAACATACATGGAAAATAAATAAATTATATAGGCTAGTTGGCTTTTTAAGAAGAAAAAATAAATAAAAGCATATTGCACAAAGATAACATATGTTTAATCATGTTTTGCGAATGAATACCGATCCCTAATGAAGGAGTTCTCATATCAACCCTTTGTGAGACTTGACCTGAACCCTTCATTTTTTATATGTCTTGAGTACTTTATGACGTGTTTTGATTTTTTTATTATCGAAAAAAAGTAAATTTTATTAACCGGAAGCATTGGTTACAATAAGGTCATCAAGAATACAGTTCATTAGCCACACCCACACATGGCCTTTTCTGTGTGTTGGATGACGATTTTCATAAATTATGTTATATTTGATATACTCATTTTTTTGTTTGGTTGACAAATAAATTGAAACGAAAATAAGTAAAAATAGAAAAACTAGGTGGCGGTTCAAGCCGTCTTTGGTCCACTAGGCCGGGTCCATGTAAACCCTGTTTTAGAATGCTTGTGAAACTTCTGGTACTTTCTCAACGGTTGTATTGTAATTTGTATGCAACGCGTAGGTCAGACTTCAAATAATAGAGTTCAGAGTTAGTTCTTCTTTCTTCCCCTCTGCTTCTGCCGCCAACAAAATCACAAACTCGCATACAAATCACAGATAAAGAAAGCAACTGAAGATAAAATGGAAGGAGGTATTGGTGGTAGCCAAAGCAAAGACCAAAATCAAATTGTGGATGTGAGGTCGGTGGTCGAATCCGTCTCCGCCGAAGACTCCGACGCCCCTCTCTACCAAGTCGAAAGCCTCTGCATGCGTTGCGGCGAAAACGTACTCTCATTCTCTCTCTGTCTCTATGCATCTTCATTTCTGCTTAGGTCTTCTCTATTTGGATTTGTATTGTGATTAAATTTGTTAATTTTATTGTTATTTTCAGGGCACTACCAGTTTTCTGCTGACTCTAATTCCTCACTTCAGAAAGGTAAGCCTCTAATTTGTTTATAATTGATTGTCAACTTCTTCTTCTTCTTGTTGTTTATGTATACATGAAAGTGTTGTTGGTATGCAGATTTTGTTGTCTGCGTTTGAGTGTCCGCATTGCAATGAGAGGTAAAGCTCTGTGATGATAATTTGTTCAATTTTTCATTGGTTTACTGAAGTTTTGTTTTTTTGCTTAAAAAAAAAAAACAATTCTGTTGTGCTGCCGCAGGAATAACGAGGTTCAGTTTGCTGGTGAGCTCCAACCCAAGGGTTGTTGCTACCAGTTGAAAGTGCCTTCCGGGGACCCCAAGGTTAGAGTAATCAAAATTTTATAACTTGACATTATATGGGTCATTTATCTCTCATGTATGTCCAAAATTTGTGGTCTTTAACTAAAATTGATCATGTTGAAGACACTAATAAGTAATAATCACAAAGCACTTACCTATATGATTTCTTTTTCTTCATTATTTCAAATTTCTTTTCTTTTTTCTTTGTTTTGGGTTTGAGTTTGATAATAGTTGTTGTTGGAACCGATTCTTAGAGATTTGAAAAGAAGAAGCGCTGTAATAATCTCAAGTCTCAACTAATAATTTCTATTCCAAAAGGCTTGTTTGATTGAAGTTAGTGATCCGTAAGGGAATGCAGACTGAATTTCTATGACACAACACAATGCACTATATTTTTCTAAAATGTATTGAACAGTCCCCTCCTTCAGGATTGCAGAATTGATGACCTCTTTTATATGCAGATGCTTAATCGACAAGTGGTGAAATCTGAGTTTGCTACTATTAAGGTACCTGAAATAGATTCTGATTGCAATGCTCAATGCAGATTTTTTTTTTCCATCTTGCATTTCATTAACTTACAGGTT